TTCGGGCAAGCGCCTGGGCAAGCGCCTAGCGCCTCGGGCGTTTTTGGACCTTGGCGCCTTTTGACGCATAGCGCTTTTTAAATCACTGTATATATATATATATATATATATATATATATATACAAGGTGATGTCGTGTCGCCTCGACGATGTCACCCCGCATAGGAGAAGGAAAAGGCGATGTCTACGAGGCGATGCGACGTCGCCTTTTATAAAATATATATATATATATATATATATATATATATATACCGAACGGAATACCGTTCTGTATACAGTTTCGTACCGTACCGAGCGAACGTCAAAACTCCGGTACAGTACGAAATTGCATACCTTAAGAAAAAGAGATGATAAATTTTAACCTTTGAAGGAATCTAAAGTTATTGTTCAAAGATAAACGTGGACACAGGCATCAAGAGTAATTTGACTAGTAACTATTATATCAAAAAAAAAATTTATGACAATTGTTAGGCCACCAATAATCTATGAATGTGAGTGTTGGGTGATTAACAAACAATATACTAAAAAAGAAGTTTGTCAATGTGATGTGCGAATGTTAAGACTTTATGTGTGACATCATTAGCAAAGATTAAAAAAAAATTTTATTCTTGGACAATTAAATATAGCTTTAATAGAGAATAAAATAAGAGAGAATAGTTTAAGACTGTATGAATATATACTAACGAGGCCTATAGATGCAGTAGTTAGAAGAGACTAGATAATTAGTCGTAATGGTACGAGAAAGAGACCTAAGAAGACTCCACTAATAACCATAAATAAAAAGTAAAATGATCTTAGTATAATCAAGGATATTGCTTTTTATAAAGCTCAATATAATCAGTGGTTCCCTAATCAAACAAGGTTCGAACCAGAAAAGATTGGATTCTCATTCTCAAGAAACATTAAAGTCATCCAGACTGCAAATAAATCAGTAGTAGATCAACCACTCTCAAGTAATTTCCATCAATGTAATTTCCATCAATGTGAGCAACTGTAGGAAAGAAAGAAAGAACTCTAGCAAACTGGTGGCACTTGAATCTCAAAGGGAGATGAATCATAAAAGGTGGAGGATTTTCTTTTTCAGGGTTGGAATCTCAACTATTCTCGACCAGTGTAAACAGTAGAAAAGGAACAGAATGAAACAAGGAAAGAGGTAGAAAGTCTTGTTTGAAAGTACTCCAGCATGTTGTTAGCAATTCCTGTCGCAAGGGACGACGAGTCGCATGTGGTAGAGCTTTTTATTTCATGTAGCAATGCTTTTGCAGATGTTAGAAGCGTGTCTGCTTCTTATCATCTCTCAAAAGACAATAGGGAAACTGCTAGAGGCATTTTTTTCTAATCTACCAGTTATTTTTCCATCCTTCCCAAGTGTAGGAATGTCAGCAATAAATATAAACTTGAAATAGTAAAAACATGTATTGTTGCTAGTGGTTAGATAAAACATGCTTAAGCATTCTATTCTAAGGCACAGGTTTGAAGTTTTTGTTGGGAAGCAGTAAAACATGTGCTTTCCTTTCAATTGCTTTTTTTATGTTTAATCTTTCAATTGTAGACCTTTTTCCTTTTTTTCTTTTCATTGTCATAGATTGATTTTTAAATTTTCTTTGGTCATAAGACTTATTTTTCATATTTCAATTACTATCAAGATCCATGCACAATTTAAGGTCAGGTAGTACGTGCCTTGGGATGAAGAATGTCTGCAACAAACATAAGCTGTACTTACAGATTATCGTATCCCTGACAATTCCAACTGACACAAGAGCAGCTTTAGCAATGGTGATAAATTCTTGAATTGTTGTTGGGTTTTCAGATGAACAGCCAGGAGGTACCACAGGCAAAGGATCCTGATATGCTCATGAGATGTCAGGTTGCTAGGTACAAGCTTAGAAGAACACATAATGTAAATAAATATGCACCATGGAATGCTTAAACAAACAACCTGTTCCATTATTCCCCTATACATCATCATAAGGGCCCTCTTTCCGTAATTGCTGTCATAGTTGAAAGCACTCAATGATGGGCCAGCCCTGTGCATTAAGCATCAAAATGAACATGCAACAAGCACATAAAAGTGTTAACCTCTAAAATTAATTCCATCATGTTTGCGTAGATTTGAGTATTTGGTCAAGCACAAAAAGATCAATATAAACTCGGATCACCTGCGATCTCCTTGTGTTAGAGCTCCAAGAGACTCCAACCTCTTTGCAACAATTGACGCAAAACGCTTTTCACCACCAAGGGTGGTAAAAAGAAGCCTAAAAATGTCACAAGAAAAAATGAATCTTGTCTAGAATCATTTCTTTTCCAGATATGCTAAATGAAGTAAAATTTCATAACAAAACAACCATCAACAGAAAAGAGCCATCAGGTAGTTGTTTTGCCCATGTACCAATACCAAGTTGCAGAGATTTCACAATTTATAGTTCAATTAGGAGCATCAAAAATATGAAATATGAATTCACGTATTTTAATGAAACAAAAATGGGCATTGGTATACATGCGTCAGGTCAAAACACTTTAGGATCATGTAGTGAATCATAAAGCCTGTAAAGAGCAGAAACATAATCCTCTGCACATTGAGATGCAGACTATGAGAGTCAATTGCCTTTAAGTGCAAGACCTTCATAGAGAAATTCTATACTTGTAGTCCCATCACATGGAAATAAAAAAGGGCATACCCAGTGCATGAGGCTCCCATCACATGGAAATCCAACTCAAAAGAATATGCTGGAAGAATGCCTACAAGCTAACATTGACAGGGTAAGATCATCAAGGTCAGCCAATATATAGATAGTCCAATGATTGTAAGCTCTGGTAAGCAAGGTTCGCAATACCATATTGTACCGGCGTTTCGATGTTCGCTCGGTACAGTACGAAACGGTATACCGAGCGGTATACCGCTCGGTATATATATATTATATATATACATATAACTCGGCGACGTCGCCTCTCTCTTCTCGCAAGCAGGGCGACGTCGCTTCGGCGACGTCACCTCGTTTATATATATATATAAATTTATATATATATATAAAAGATTATATATATATATATTTATATATATTTATTTATTTAAAAGGCGACATCGCATCGCCTCGGCGACATCGCCTTTTCCTTCCCCACGCGGGGCGACGTCGCCTCGTTTATTTAAATATATAAATATATAAATATAAATATATATGTTATTATTATTATTATTATTTTTCGTTCCGTCCGGTAGCGGACGGTCCGCGTACCGGTATGCCATCGGACCGGTACGTACCGCCCGTACCAGACGGTATCATTCGGTATTGCCTACCTTGCTGGTAAGCATCAACTTGCTACAATACTATGAACTATTCCTGATAATATATTCTTTCCAGACCTTTTTCATATGCTTTACAACATGACCAATGGGTTATTGAGATTGTGTATCAGTTTTTTATTAATTATTTTCTTCAGAACTAGGGGTACATCATACCAATTTTCGCAATACTACTCGGTACAGTTTGGTATGGGCGGTATTCACTGATCCGACAGATTACCGGTATACAAACCAAAGTAAACTGGGAATTATGTCTTACAAGTTTGGTACAACCTGGTATGGTACTAGTACGGCCTACTATAGAGAAGTACAGGCTCTGCACAATTTGTTTTATTTTTTCAGCCTTTTTTTTAATTTGGTGTACCAGTTTGGCACCAGTATCAGTACACAAAACTGCAGACCTTGCATCATAGAGACACAAATTTAAACATAACTAACATTTGTATTTGTAGACATATAATACATAAAAGAAAATGCACATGCAGCACTAGAGACAGATAAATCATGCAAAGTAGTTTAACCTTGAAAAAACTCTCCACTTGCTGTCAGAAAAAAAACAAGAGGCAATGGTCTAAAAGATAAATTGAAGTAACTTTGATAGAAAGAAAAAATAGCAAAATGCATTGGCAAAGAAATAATGAAGAACAGCACCGATGCTGATCCTAAAATTAGTAATGAGAATAAAAAATATATTAAATAAATATTAAAGCTAAATTTTGGAAGCATAATCCTCAGATAATAAACTTCTAATTAACTTAATCACACATGAAACTATAGTTAGACAAAAGTATTATCTAAAGAGCTACAAGAAAATTAAGAAAATAAAATACATGCAAAAAGATTATATTAAACTCAAGGTTTGCAATTCGATCGAAACCAATGTACGGACCAATGGTCGGTACGGTACATACCGAGGCACCGATGGTATGCTAGGGCGTACCAACAATACACCCAAAAAACATCAAAAATAGCTCTACAAATATCTGAAAAATAAAAAAAATAGATTATGGTTTTTAAGATGGAAATAAATATAAATTTAGTGTGATTTTAGCAAAAATAATCTAAATTAAGAAAGAATAGTGGTACATATCTTCTTTGGGTTTTGAGTAGCTTTGTGGTACATTCGGAACCATTCTTTCATTAATATTGAATTATCTACAAAAAACTGATTTGAACTGTTAGATTTTTTTAAAATAATTTAAATTTTAATATTCAAATGAATTAAGTAATCGATTGATGAATATACCTGGTTCTATCAACAAAAAAAAGATAGGACACCACAGGTAGTGGATCGAGGTCCTCGATCCTTTGTATCTATATATCAATTTGATATGTTTGTCGAACTCAAACCTAAAATTGATCTCACTACATAATATACTGATATATCGTATGTCATTAGTGCATCAATATAGTGATAGTCGTAATTTGACCGCTGTTAATCACGTGTTCGAGGCGGCTCTGAGGCAAGTACGACTGTGGCATGTATTGTGCAGAGCATGGAGAATGTTAGAACTTCTCCTTACGCCATTGATCTGTTGTTCTGTATCATAAGATAGCCGTATTAATCCTTAGAGAAGCATGACGAACTATGATCGTACGGTTGTTGGCCATAAGATTCTCTATGATACAATGGCTATGAAAATGATAAGCTTCACTTTGTGTCTACGTGAAGTAGGCTCTACCGCATCTGCTCAAAATCATCCACTGCATTCCCCTTCCCCTTCCGTGTATAAACTTGACTAGTACCTCGTCGAGTTCCATGATTTGAATCTTGGGTGGCATGTGTAAAATACTGCTCCTCGATCCATGCACCACTCTCAAATTGTGTAAACGGGACCATCAAATCCCCGACGCCATCACGATCATCGGTTGAGGCACTACTATCCATGTCGCTGCCAAGTCTTCGGATTGAGCGGGTTGTTGAATCTGATTGAGGTGTTTCGTCACCTGACTTGATTCTTTCCAATGGTATGGTTGATGCTATTGCCTTCCCTTTTGCCTTTACCTTTGCACGTTGTGTCACGAACGATCGTTGCGCACCTGCAACATCTTCGTCGTTCGTCGCTTTTGTTTGCTTGTGCAGATGCTTGGCAACGTGTTTTGCCTCGGTTTTATGTGTTTTTGCTGAAAAATTGTGAGCAGGAACTGATTGCAGTGCTGCAGAGCGACCACTCACCATGACGAGCAAAATTGCCACAAATTGGCTCCGTTTTTTCATGCCATGGCTTGTTTTCTACCAGCTATAGTGCAGTGCAAAACATCACCCATCTCAACACCCTAGAAAACCCCACGTGGCACCTGGCAAGATAGACGTTTTGGGTAGCATTGGGTATTGATTGGATTTCACAAGTTCGCCATTAAGTCTACGGGAGCTTGTCATCGCGCACGACACCCGGTGTACAAACATTGGCGAACTTGCGACTATTCGTTTTGCCTCCTAAAGTTCTTGTTTTCTCCTTCCTCACTTTTCTCTCTTGCATACAGAGTGTTTGCCGAATTGTTTGTAAAGCTGTCCTCTTCGTACGATGTCAGGACTTGTCCGTTGCTCGCTTTTGATATAATCAATTTGCTCTTTGACAAATCCTACGGGACCTGAGTAAGGTTGTAAATAGGCTAACTCTTTGCAGACGAATAACACAAAGGCACCTCATGAATTACTGTAATCCCAACTAAGTCAGTGACATTGGTGCAAGGGTGCTTCACGACATAGGCAACTTCAGCTGAGCTCACGACTTTGGCATAAGGGTGCATCACAACTTACGCAATTCCAACTAAGTCCGTGATATTGCCATAAGGATGCCTCACGACTTAAGCAATTTCAGCTAAGTTTGTGACATTGTGGTATCAGAGCGAGCAAGCAATTCAAGCAAATAGCGAAAAGTTTCACAATCTTTCCATAGCGAAGCATCGTGGCGAATCAGACAAGATGGGCCAAGCCGGACCATTGCCCCAAGCAACTGCAGGTGGGCTACAAGTACAACCTAGCTCTTAAGCTATTGGAGCCACTCAAGCGGAGCGTGACAGCGATCAACACGAATAAGAAGTTGGCAACTCTCCGCGAGTGGAGGAGACGCAATCTGGGAAAAGAAGTCATAATGAGAGGCTTACAACTATGGAAACCTACCTTGATGTTCTTGAAGCGAGTTTAATGGAACACTACCAACACCAACGAAGGCTTCTTAGGGCAAAAAACTCGCAAGAAAAAGCAGAATCTCGGATCGACAAAGTCGAGTCCCTAATCGATCGATTGACAAAAGACACCAAAGACTTCGTGCAACATCTACACGAAGTTGTGATGGAACTCTCACGTCAAGGGTTACATCGCTCACAAGGGCTCTTAATGCAGGAGGGACCAACACGGGCGTCGCATCGCCACAAAACCTAAGGGCACCTGAGCTGCATTGCTACGGGGTTGCCAAGAATGCGAAGGAGCTCGAGAATTTCCTGTTTGACATGGAACGATACTTTCTAACTACGAGGCCCGATTCCGAAGAAACTAAAATTTCGATAGCAACCATGTATCTGAATGGAGATGCAAAACTTTGGTGGCGAACACGTTAAGAAAAGATCCAACAAGGTCGATGTCGAGTGGACATTTGGAAAGACTTAATGCGGGAGATGAGAACACAGTTCATACCCGAGAACACGGAGTTTGTCGCAAGAAGGAAGCTAAGACAACTCCGCCAAACTACTTCCATTCAGGACTACATAAAGCAATTTTCTGCATTGATGTTGAACATACAAGACATGTCCGAGAAGGTTAAGCTATTCTGCTTCCTCAATGGCCTGAAGCTGTGGGCACAACAGGAACTGCATCAAAGGAATATCACCGATGTGATCGAGGCAATTGCAATCGTTGAAAAGCTCACTAACTTTGTTTTCTTGGAGAAGAAACAATCTTCGAAAAATCGCCCACCCAAATATTCCCGAGAGGAGTCCGGGGACGAGCAAAAG